GTGTTATGTTATGTGCCGTCGAGTCAGCCCTGACTCATAGCGACCCCTCCTTGGGTTTCCGAGGCAGTATCACTATGGAAGTAGGATTGCCTAACCTTCCTTCCGAGGAGTGGCTGGTGGGTTTGAACCGCCAGCCTTCTGGTTAGCAGTCAAGTGCCTTAGCCACTATGCTACCAGAGCATTAGTTTAAATAAATTCAAACATTTCTTTTTTGTTGGATTTCTCAGAACTTTTAATATGCTAACTTTGTCACAACACTGTATGATTTCATATTTCCCACATTTATTTTGACCAAAAACCAAACCAGGTGGTGTAGAGTCTATTCCAACTCATGGCGACCCCCACATATCAGAGTAGAACTTTGCTCCATAGGATTTTCAATGGCTGTGATCCTCCAGAAGTATATTGCCTGTGTTAGACTGGGTTCTCTAGAGGAACAAAACCAGTAAAGCTTATATATATGTATATATAGAGAAATTTGTCTTAGGAAAATGGCTCACACACTTATAGAAGCTGGCAAGTCCAAAGTTCCTGGATCAAATGTCATGCTGGAGGCTTTTCCTGACTCCTGAAGCTGCAGGGGCTGAGGAGCTCAAGGCTGGCAGGCAGTACACTGGCTGTTGACTCCAACAAATGATGAATCCAAGATCTCCAAGCCAAATGGTAGACTGTTCACTCATGGACAGTTGTAGGCAGCACAACAGAATCCCGATCCACAGAAGAATGTCTCTTTTCCCAGGATGTACACAGATATACTGGAAGCAGGCCACACCCCTAGGGAAACTCCCTTTCAACAGATTGACCACTCAAAACATAATCATCTGATCCCATTATGGGAACAACCACATCACAACAGCTCAACTCACACAGAACTGTGGTCCAGGCAAGTTGACACACAGCTCCAACTATCACATCACCTTTCGATTAGCAGCTGAACACTTACCTAATTGTGCCACCCAAATACTCTTTTATTTGACCATAGAACACCCCCCCCTTTTTTTTTTTGCCAGGAGCATCTCCTGGAATTGTTTCATAGTTAGGGAAACTGGTATTATGCCTGTTTTATGCATGAGGAAATTTGCCCTAGGTCCCAGGGCAGCCAAGAGAACTGGGCAGTGTGCTGACTGAAACACGAGCCTATGCTGAGTACTCTATAGAGCTGTCATTCCATCAAATATAATTGTTATTTATATTTCGGTGTATCTCCTTCCAATCTTTGTATTTACAAAGTGATATATTTCTGTCCGATTTTCTACAATCTTTTCACTTACAGATATATCAAGAATATTTTCCTATATCATAAATCTTTCACAATGATTTTTAATAACTACTTACTGTTTCTCCTATGCATATGGAACAATGCATTTAACTAATTTCTCATTTTGGAACAATTAGCTTGCTTCCCATTTTCACCTATAATAACACTGCTGAGATGTACATTCTTTAGGTTAAATCTTTTCTCAAATCCACAATCATTTTATTACATGTTCTGTTACTGGAAACTCTGGGACTAGTGTTATATACATAAATTATAAAGGCTTTTTTTTTTTTTAAATTGCACTTTAAGTGCAAATTTACAGAGCACAATTTGTTTTCCATTCAACATTTCATGTACATTTGGTTTCACTCCCCAATTACCATCCCTAACCCTAATCCACTCTCCTCCCTCCTTTCCCAGTAAGCCCCCCTCCCTGTGCCCTTCTTAGTTATGCACTCCTGTCTGTCCAGCTTTTCCTCCGTCTGAATGTTGTCCCTCTGGTGCCCCCTGGCCCATTGCTCCAAGGGATGCATCTCTGTAGAGTAGGTGGGTGCATTGCCCTGGGTTGAGTGTTCTGCATTCAAGTCTTATTTAATTACTGTTGGGCTGAGAGCCAGCCCTTGGGAGTGAGTTTTATTCCAGGTCCGAAGTGTATCCCAGGGCCATAGTCTTGGGGGTGGGGGTGCTGTCCCACCAGATTCCATCTGACCAGTAATTCTGGTCATTATTGTGTTTTTGGATTTTGTTCCACGTTTTTCCTCCCACTCTATCCAGGATCTCCAGTGTTGATCCCTTCCCCAGTGGTTGGCATTGGTAGCCCGGCACTATCTAGTTCTTCCGTTCTATAATAAAGGCTTTTGATACATATTGACAAACCCTACTCTAAACAGATGATTGCAATTTGCAGGTCTATCCTCAGTGTACAGACGTGCTCATCCCTACCCCTGACCCACACATTAAAAGAACAAACAAAAACTTGACCAATTTAGGATCGCAGGTACCTTTTAAATAAAATAGTATTAAGATCTCTTAATTCTACCGTTTCAACAACCACGGGAAACATCAGTCTATTTGCTAGAGGAGACATCTGTAAAATTCACTGCAGCACTGCCTGTAATACTGAACAATAAAAACAACCAAAGGTTTCCCAACCAGAAACAAAAACAAAGCAAAAGAAAACACCCAACCAGGCAAAGGCTAAATCAACTGCCATTTCCCCCCTGAGGAACTTTCTATGACAGCAAAGGTTTGCATGTTTAAGCGCGGACTGTTCGAAAGGCAAGCCCTCGCCGCCTCTTAGGAGTTTCTGCTTGTCAATCTGCTTTCGGACATGCCGGACTTTGTGATGGGCTCAGGATTCTGGGCCGAGGGACACGGAACTGGATTCGGCTCCTATCGTGCCCCTAACTATCTGCACCTGTTCTATCCGGCTGAGCCCACTGCCCACCTGGGAACCGCCTGTGGACGAGAAGGCCGGACCCTCCAGCGCTCGGGACCCTAGTCTCTGGGACCGAGTTTCCGTGCACCTCTCTCTGCCGCGCACCAACCGGAAGTGGCTGTGTTGGTGCGGTAGGAGCTACTTCCTGGAGCTGCTGTGTGGAGGGAATCTTGCTCTGGGAAGATGATTCAGGCCATTCTGGTTTTCAACAACCATGGGAAGCCGCGGCTGGTCCGCTTCTACCAGCGTTTTGTGAGTGCAGCCTGGCTTCGCCGCGCCCAGCGTCCGCGACGCCTTGCCTTGCTTTGGTCCCCCGATGCCCGCGGGTACCGCGGGCCAGCTCGAACCCTTGCACCAACCCTGACTGTCACACTCCGGTACCAGACCTTCTGTCCACGCCCCGCTGCCCCTGCTTTCGTTAACCTCTTCTTCGGCCCTGCTTTTCTGTGCTGTTTTGTGACATTTCCCTCTTGGAAATGGTCTCAGAGCATCAAGTATAGGCGGCAGTTGGGGTGTGCCTCATTCGGAACTTGAAACGTTGAATTCTCTTTAATTTCGTAGGTTGTGAACGGTTTCGCTAGTTGGAAGCCACGTTCAGCTTCTTACAGTTTTTGCTTGAGCCAGAGAATCTAGAAAAGTTATCCTTGGAATCTCTTTGCTTCGTGTTGGGGTTGCTCAGGGGACTGGATTCCCTTCACTCTGTAGAGTTGAAGAAAGTCAGTTAAGAACTGGAAAAATGATGAGAAATTATAGGTGCTGTCGCGTGAGGGCTCAATAAATGATCATATGAATTTGAATTTTCCCAGAACATTCCTCCGGAAAACTACAAATATCATTATTTGCCCCCAGGCCCTCGAACATTTTCTTTCTTAGGGCTAGGTTTCAGAAAGGAGCTCTGGTGGCTTAATGCCCAAGGCATTTGACTACCAACCAGAAGGCTGGCGGTTCAAACCCACCAGCCAATCCTTGGAAGGAAGATTGGGCAATCTACTTCCGTAGTGATTCGCCTCAGAAACCCAAGAAGGGGTCACTATGAGTCGGATCCAATTTGACGGTAGTGAGTTAGTTTTTGGAGGTTTCAGAATGTTACCTAAGGGTGAGGGAGTGGTGACACAAGAACAAGAAAACCTATGTTAAGGTCTCAGCCGTGTGTCTGTTGACAAACCTTTCAGACTTGTTTCCTCTTTTGACAAATGGACATGAAACAATTTTACCTTTTTCATTAAATAAATTACACTGAGGTGAAAATATAAGCATTCTGTATAGCTATTCAAGCTGTATTTGCATTTTTGTGTGTGAATTTTTTCCTTATTTTAAAAAAAGTTTATTAAGATATGTCACGTATCATGCATTCACCTATTTAAAGTGTACAATTAAATGGGTTTTAGGATATTTACAGAATTGTGCAACCATCACCACAGTCAATTCTAGAACAAGTTCATCATATATAATGAAACCCATATTCATTAGCAAGGAGTCACTCTCCATTCTCCCTCCTCCTCCAAAAAACCAAATTCACTGCTCTCATTGGTATCTGACTCATAGTGACTCTTCCTTGGGTTTCTGAGGCAGTATCACTACGGAAGTAGATTGCCAAACCTTCCTTCCTGAGGAGTGGCTGGTGGGTTTGAACCACCAGCCTTCTGGTTGGCAGTCAAATGCCTTAGGCACTACACCACCAGCAACCACTAATCTACTTTCTGTCTCTGTAGATGTGCCTGTTCTGGACATTTAACTTAAATGAAATCATACAGTATGTGGTCTTTTGTGACTATTTTCTTTCACTTAATGATTCACTTTATTTTAGCATAATGACTTCAAGATTCATCCATGTTGTAGCATTTTTTTTTTTAATATTTTTTATTGTGATTTGGGTGAAAGTTTACGGAGTAAATTCATTTTCCATACAACAGTTCATACACATTTTGTTTCATGACATTGATTATAATCCCCACAGTGCAAAAAACCCTCCTCTTACTTCCTCCCTGTGACTACTTTTTCCCTGTTTTCTTTTCCATACATTCCTGCCCTCTGAGCTGTCTCTCTGTGGAAATACTACCCTTCTGATATCCTGTGGTTGATTGTTCTAAGGAGTGTACCTGCCTGGTGTAAATGTTCATCCTATGTACCTGTCTGTTATTTGGCTGGAAGCCACAGGAGTGAGTTCAATTCCAGGCCCCTAAGGGTGTCTAGGAGTCATAGTCTTGGGGGTTTCACCAGTCTCTATCAGACCTGTAAGCCTGGTCTTTTTTATGATTTTGAGTTTTGTTGCACAATTTCAACCCATCTTGTAGCATTTTTATTGCTGAATAATATTGTATACATAGGCCACATTTCGCTTATACATTCACTTGTTTTTGGCTACTGTGAATAATGCTGCTATGAACATTCATATACAAGTTTTATGTGGATGTGTTTTCATTTCTCTTGGCTGTATACCTAGAAAGGAGCCTGGTGGCATAATGGTTAAACACTCTGCTGCTAACAAAAAGGTCGGTGGTTTGAACCCACTAGCCACTCTGCAGGAGAAAGATGTGGCAGTCTGCTTCCATAAAGATTAACCAAACTAAACTCACTATCATCAAGTCAATTCAACTCATAGTAACTCCTCCTTGGGTTTCTGAGGTGCTTTCTCTACAGAAGTAGATTGCCCAATCTTCCTTCCGAGGAGGGGCTAGTGGGTTTGAACCACCAGCTTTCTGGTTAACAGTCAAATGCCTTAGGCACCACGCCATCAGAACTCCCTTGGAAATCCTGTGGAACAGTTCTACTCTACAGGGTTGCTATGAGCTGAAAGCAGCTTGATGGCAACGGGTTTAGTTTTGGTTATATACTTAGGAGTAGAATTGCTGGGTCATGTGGTTACTCTCTTTAACTTTTTGAGGAACTGCCAGACTGTTTCTCAATGCAGCTGCAGGATTTTACATTCTCATTTACAATGTATAAGTGTTCCAATTTCCCTATATCCTCACCAATACTTTTATTATCTGTCTTTTTTATTATATCTGTCATAGTAGCTGTGATCTGTATGCATTTTTCTTATGACAAAGGAGCTCTGGTGGCATAATAGTTAAGCAGTCTGCTGCTAACAGAAAGGTTGGCAGTTTGAACCCACCAGCCGCTGTGCGGAAGAAAAGACCTGGCTATCTGCTCCTGTAAAGATTACAGCTTAGGAAGCTCTATGGGGCAGTTATACTCTGACCTTTAGGGTTCCGATGAGTTGGAATTGACTCAAAGGGGAACACAACAATGACAAAGAAGCAGTCCTTGGGTATCTCAAACAGTTAAGCCCTGGATTAGTAGCCAAAAGGCTGGTGATTTGAATCTACCCAGAGGTGCTTTAGGAGCTCTGGTGGCATAGTGCCTAAGGCACTTGACTGCTAACCAGAAAGCTAGAGGTTCAAATCCACCAGCCACTCCTGGGAAGGAAGGTTGGGCAATCTACTTCCGTAGTGATACAGCCTCAGAAACCCAAGGAGGGGTCCCTATGAGTCAGGTCCGACTCGATGGCACATAACAACAACAACAACAGGTGCTTTGGAAGACATGCTTAGCAATCTGCTTCTAAAAGGTCATAGCCTTGAAAACCCTGTTGGCAAAGTTTTACTTTGTACATACGGGGTCACCATGAGTCAGAATCCACCCAACAACTGCTAGCAACAATAATGACTAAGGATGTTGAGCACCTTTTTATATGCTTATTGGCCATTTATGTATCTTCTTTGGTGATCATAGGATTTTTATAAGAACCCAATGAGCTATAACTGAAAAGTCTCTTGCAGAGTAGTAAAAAGTACACCTACAGAGTACTAAAATACACGTGGGATTATTAAAATAACTAAGGAATATAAGCAATTGGTAGTTTCTTGTTTTGCTGAATTAGTAGGAAGCCTCACCATTGCATACCATTTCTCCACAAACTGCTGTCACTACTCCCTGCAGTCAGATAAAAGGCTTGGTTCAGAAGATGTTTTTCCCAGTTTAAAAAAAGTGCTGATGCTTAGCATGTTTTGTATTTCATAGCACACAGACTTAATCCTATTTAGATAGCATCCTGACATCTATGAGCTTTGTGTGGAAACTCGGAAAATAGTGATTGATTTACTCAAAATTACTGTAACCAGTGATTAGTAAGTTTTATTCACTCATTCAGTACATACTAAGAGCCACTGTATACTTATGTTGAGTCAAAGTTGGTAAAATAATTTTTCTACAGTGATAATTTCCTTCTTTCTACCCTCATGCTCTTTTTAAATAATTATTTCAAACCTAAATTCAGTGCTATATGGAGAAAGAGAGTGAAATTGCTGGAATCTATTCACTGACCCTTTTGGCAAATCCAGTCTGAAGGTTTTCTTAAGCTTTGCTATTCAAAGTGTAGTCCCCAGGAAGAACTTATTCCGTCTAGCCCCCTGCTGAGAAGTTGCATTTCCACCCCAGATATACCAAATCATAATTTACATTTTAACAAGATCTCCAGGTGATTCTTACAGATCTTATTATATATACACGTAAGAATCACCTTGGAATTTGTTTGTGCTGTAAGAATGTCCATATATATAAAATAAAGCTAATTGGAAGCTCTGGTGGCGTAGTGCCCAAGGCATTTGACTGCTAACCAGAAAGGTGGTGGTTCAAACCCACCAGTCACTCCTTGGAAGGAAAATTGGGCAATCTACTTCCATAGTGATAGAGCCTCAGAAACCTAAGGAGGGGTCACTACGAGTTGACGGCAGTGAATTTTTTTTTTTTTTTGGTTTGTTTTTGGGAGCTTATTGGAACTCTGGTGGCATAGTGCCTAAGGCATTTGACTGCTAACCAGAAGGCTGATGGTTCAAACCCACTAGCCACTTCTTGGAAGGAAGATTGGGCAATCTACTTCTGTAGTGATAATGCCTCGGAAACCCAAGAAGGGGTCGCTATAAGTTGGATCCACCTCAAGAGCAGTGAGTTTGATTTTTTTGGGGGGAGGAGGCTTTTTGAAATACAGTCTCAGTCCTTATCCCAGACCTGCTAAATCAGAATCTGCATTTTAACAACATTTCCAGGTGATTCAATGCACTGGTTTAGGACCTTTAATTATTTTCTGTCTTAATGACAGGTTTCTCCCTCCGGTAATCCTCTTTACCATACTTATGAACTTCATTGTTAGGTGCTGTCCAGTCGGTTCCAACTCACAGCAACTTTTTGTACAATAGAACAAAACATTGCTCAGTCCTGCACTGTCCTCACAGTTGCTGTTATGCTTGAGGCCATCATTGAGTCTCTGGAATAAATGTGAGTTATTAAGAGATTCCATCATAGCTGGGCTTTATAATGTATATTAAAAAAAAAACTCTTACAGTGACCCCCCCCATTGGATTTCCAAAGCCGTAAATCTTTATGGAAGTAAATTGTCCAGTCTTCTGCAGAGTGGCTGGTGGATTTGAACTGCCAACCTTTTGGTTAGCAGTCAAGTGCCTTAGACGCTACGCCACCAGAGCTCCTTTTTAATGTATATAGTAAGTGGAAAAGAAATGTGTAGCTCTTTAGTTGTTCAAAATTCTAATCTGTAAATTGAACTTTTTCTACTTTTCTCAGAAATAGTCTGTTGGTGAGTGACACAGCATCTTATATATAAATAAGCAAACAAAAAACCCAAACTCACTGCTATCAAGTCGATTCTGACTCATAGCAATTGCCTTTGGGTTTCCGAGACAGTAAATCTTACGGAAGTAAATTGCCCAGTCATCCTTCCACAGAGTGGCTGGTGGGTTTGAAGCACCAACCTTCTGGTTAACAGTCAGTGCCTTCAGCACTTTGCCACCAGAGCTCTTATATATGGTACCTGTATTACCAGAAAGGAGCTCTGGTGGTGCAGTGAATAAAGCATTTGGTTGATAACCAAAAGGTTGGCATTTCAAACCTATCTATCAGCCATCCTATGGGTGAAAGATAAGGCAATCTGCTTCCATAGAAATTTACAGACTTGGAAACCCTATGGGACAGTTCTACTATGTCCTATAGGGTTGCTATGAATTGGAATCAACTCAATGGTAGTGGTTTGTTGTTTTTTTTTTTTTACTAGTTCAAAAAATGGAAATTACAGGTTTTGAAAACATGTACATGATTATATCTTGACTTCCTTAAAGTATCAGGCCTTTTGACATGTTACTTACCTGGCTTAGATGTTTTCCAGGGGAAGACAATATTTTAGGTTCAGGCCCTCTGGTTGTTCTTTGACATTGTATGAGACTTTATTCCCTTTTCCTTGTTTATTAGCTATAAAGCAATATTAGCTGACCTATCAGATGGTAATAGTGGCTGAGATAGCTAAGTAAATATACCAGTTTAATTCCCAAAGCACAACCTTGTCATCCATTTTCCCTGATTTGCTTTTTATTTTCTCTCTAGATGTCATTTTTATCTTTTCTAGAAGCTGGCACTAAATCTTTAAATCATTCCCAGCAAAGGAGTATTTCTCTCCCTGTCCATCTTCATTGATGGGATGTAGTTTTTCAGACTTGCCCACTGATTGACTTCTTTTGTTCCATAGTCAGAAGAAATTCAACAGCAGATTGTTCGAGAGACTTTCCATCTAGTCCTCAAGCGGGATGACAACATCTGTAACTTCTTGGAGGGCGGAAGGTAAACCATCAGCTTCAGTTTTCTCCCCTTGGGTCTGCTTTTGGGTGGCCTTCATCCTTATTGCTTCTTCAGGAAGTACTCAAAGATCAGGTGGGCACCTGATGCAGCTTGAACTAGTCTTAGCATGGTCTGCTCAGGAGGAGACCCAATTCTGTTCCAGAAGCTATTGAATTATTGTACTTCAGATATTACTCATTTAGATGTTTGGTCCCTGGATGGATGGGCACAGGAAAGGTGAGGAACAGTGGCTTTAGGTACTCTGCCAAACTCGGTTGCTGTTCACCTGGTAGAAATATCCTGCTTCTATTGTTTGTCAGCCCCAGGGATATAGGTGAGGAGAGACAACTCAGGGACGCCCAAAGCAGCAGGCCAGAAGAGCAGGAGAAAGGGGATTAAAAGCCAGGAAGCCAGACAGAGG